ATACAAATCTCACTCACTTAACAACGAGCACGGCATTGCTGCCGTGATTGTAGGGAGTATTCACTACAGTGATGATGGCAGAGAATGTCTGGCGAGGTGACCACACCGCATACTCTTCGCGTTTTGCAGCCATAGTTGCACAAGGGGTATCGATAGCACCAGACTTGTTGGTGGGTTGCTACTTGGCCGACCTACCAGTTGAAATATACCGAGAGGTGACCCGAGGTGGAACGAGGAAATTCGCGGACTGGCAGGACGCTGCTGCAGCACTGGCTACTACTGCGGCACAATGGAAGGATTCATGTGAAGAGCGCCTCCGATTCCAAAGGGACTTAGAGAACGCCAAGTGTAGATGGGCTCAAGGTGGACGAGAGCTGGGTCTACAGCGAGAAAGGGCGAGCAGGGGAAACAGGGGTAATGATACTACGGATTCACACTGTTACGAGTGCAGAGGAAGGGGGCATGTGAGCAGGGACTGTCCACTCCGCAAAGGAGTGACACGACGAAATGGGGAAATGTGTTCCCGATGTGGGGGACGGGATTACTACGCTAGAGACTGCCCTACGCCGGCTCGAGCTAGAGCGGAGCCCATCAGGCAGCGCAGACAGCAGCAAGGGCTTCCTCAAGGTGACCAATCGGGGCGTTTAAACGATCGAGCCTAGTCGTTAAGGGGGACGAACAGACTAGGCGACCTATAAGGGGTAAAAGTGCAATGTGCGCAGTAGCGACAGGGTCAAACTCCACTCCAGTCTCCCCAGATTGGGGCAAGCAGTTGCTTGGTAGAGAGGTGCAGGTGAATGCCGAGGTTCAGGACCTGGGAGAGAACCAGCAACCCTTGGCAGTACAGTCTCACGCCGGGACAACGTTGCTAATTGAGGAAGGGTATACGCGTAAACGGGACCACAGCAGCGAACTACACAGCGATGCGGGGATGCGTGGGACGATAGGACACACGCCGCACTGTCACCGGAGGTGGCAACTGCGCGCGACCCGCCGGCCGTCCCACTGGCAGATGGGGCTGGGTGCCAACGGGAGGCTTTCGTTGGCAACGGAGTTCCGAGAGGTCGTATTAGTCAGTCCGGGGACTGCCCTCAGCGTAGGGTGGCGGGACTGTCCGAAGGGGACTTCGCGCAAGAAACAAGCGTTGTGCTGCNGCCCTCAGCGTAGGGTGGCGGGACTGTCCGAAGGGGACTTCGCGCAAGAAACAAGCGTTGTGCTGCCTCAGTTGTGGCAAAGTCTCTGTATAAAGGAAGCCGTCTGTACAGGGTTGGCGATTCGTCGGGTGCGAACCGCCGCCCTACAGCAAGTGCAAGGGGAGGAGAGTTGTTCTGAGTCGTTTTCCGTTACCGGGATTACGGGAAGCCACACTCACTCTGAGAAAGTCGAGGAGCTAAAGCCTCAGTCCATCGCGCGGATAGCCGTCGTGAATGAGGCGTGGTGCGGACTGCCTAAGGTACGAACCAGTGCGGAGTCATCAGCAAAGGACCCAAGTGGAGGGGCGCGACAGAGGCCCCCTCTAAAGCAGACGTGTGGGACATTGGACGAGAAGCGGCAGCGCGATCGCCAGCCTCTCCGCGAAGGGAGCGGGAAGAAGTGCCCGTGCACTCGCACGCGAACTATTACCACAGTCGGTGTCAAGTTGTACCAGAGTAGAGCTCATAGACATGTAGTTAGAACCACATCATGCCCACTACAGCCCCTATACAAAAGGCGGATCACTAGGAGGGCAGGTAAAAGAGGAAAGGAAAAGAAAAGAAGAAAGAGAAGAAACGAAACAAGCAGTCAGCGTTGATAAAAAACACCACAAGCCATTTATATACAGAGCTTAGCCCCTTTGAGGTCATGATCGGCCAGAACCCGGTTACAGCGGCAGACTTGGACGTCGTGGGCAATCTCGCACCCACCCTTACCCCGCCGATGACCAAATTATTTCAACAGCTGTGCGATAGGGCCCAAAGCCATATTCTCAGGGCGAAGTGGCAGCAAAAACGTTATGCAGATGCTCATTGCCGTGATGTCCAATACAACCCAGGAGATCGGATATGGATCAGCAGCCGCAACCTCCCGGGGCTCAATCAGTGCCCCAAGTTCGAGCCCCGGTTTCGTGGACCATTCAGAGTCTTGGAGCGCATCGGTCAAGTCGCTTACCGCATCGAGCTCCCGCCAACTTATCCATGTCATAAATTCCATGTCTCTCAGCTTGTCCCCGACCGCCCACGCGATTTTGAGATGAAGTCCAAAGAAACCGCCGTTGGGTGGTTACCGCTGACGGGCCCGGACGGCGCTCTCACAGACACCTACGAGGTGGACTACATTCTCAATCAACGGGGCTCGGTAAAGGATACCCAATACCTCGTTAAGTGGCGAGGCGCTCCTGAGGATCGCGCAACCTGGGAGCCGGCCGCCAATCTTATCAACTGCCCTGCCCTTCTTCGGGCGTGGCGACGTTATTTCAAGAGCGCAAGGGGCAACCAGCGAGGCCCTCAGGACGTCGTATCTCGCCCCGCTCACACTACCTCAGCAGGGCCCTCATCGCCGACGTTTTTCTCGCAGGGGGGGGGAAGGAGTGGAGGGGCACCCTCCGGCAGCCGCACCACTCACAGCACAAGACAGCCTAGAGGAGCCGGATAGAGATATAATGCAAGGAAGTACTGTGGACTCGAAAGCGGATCCAACGTGTACCAGCCTAGAGGTAGAAGATGAGGGTGTGGGACCCAGAAGCAAGGAAGTAACGGAGGCAAGTGGGGAAAATGAGAAACTCATCTACGCTAAAAGGGGAAAAGGGAAGGGTCCGGGGAAGGCAGGGCGAAGAAATTTCAGGCGGGACAGGAATTTTTCGGCCGAAGGGGGAAGTTGTAGTGCATTGGCACTACAATGCACCGTAATAGATAATTGGCGAGATTAAAGATTCATAATGCTTAATTAATTTAACTAATAAAATTTAGGTTAGCAGGCCAAATCGCAGGGGGCACNAAATCGCAGGGGGCACCCGTAGAAACCGCGGATAGCCGGTACCTCGTAGAGGTAGAGGCCCAGCCACCGCAGAAAGGCGGGTCGGCCGTACCTAAGCGGTTCTAGCGGCCGCCCGGGCGGGTCGCCTGGTCGGGCGCGGGGATTTGGCTCTAATAATTGTCCGCGTAACGGCTAGTTTAATTGGTTTCTGTGACTTATTCGCCGAAACGACATGGTGATTACGTTCTCTCTCGCACTCACGCAGTTTACGTACGAGTGACTAGATGCCGTCAGGCATTACACAACAGGTCCATAGCGACATCATTAAATGCACATATGTCTTATAACAGATGAAGCTAGAACTTTGCTTGTCAAGGAATGTAATTAAGCTATGCTGCATCAGAGACATCTGTGTTGCTCTTCTTAGGGAGCGTGCTGCGTGTAAGCGCTTGCAAACGTTCTGCAAGTTCATTCAGAGGCAAAGCATGCAGCAAAGGAAGCTTCCCTGAAGCCTCCTTACGTGCACGCGTGGGGCTGGCTTGCACTACCACCGGCAGCGGGGTGCGCTGCAACCCCATTTCTGGCTGCCTCCTCCCGGCAACACCCAGGCCCTGAGCTCAACGCCCAGGATGCCTAGGGACCGGGGAAGGAGATCAGCTGCTTTTGGGAAACTCTTGCTTTAAGTCTTTGCCTACATTGCGGCTCGCCTCTGGCCAGATAAAGGCCAGCGGACAAGCGTTGCAGTGCCTATGCACTACACCTACCCCTCTGCCGAGTTTAAACGTAAACGAGTTTAAACGCTCCCGTAAGCAGAAATACTGATTCCTATTCCAGGTTATCCTCTAGTATCCTTCTCTATTCACTCCGTTACGGAACTATTTCGTACTTCCTGACAGCGAGGGCCGCGAATTGCCCCTGCATCACCGATATAGTCTAATTAACGGTCGCCCTTATCAGCTACTCCAATATATATCCTAATTACTGGGCAATAATTACTACTCTTTTATACGAACTACTATCTATTAAATATCTGTTAAATATCTACTAGTACTACCTTTGTGTATACTCACGCTGTCACGCTGTTGTCCGGGCGGCCGAAGAAGGCGAAACTCCGCTTCAAATGCTTCGCGCCGGCAGCTATCGCTTTGAAGAACATCCATCCATCACTACGAATTTATCTCCTTCTTGTTTAACACTCCACTTCCTTGTTATTTGTCTCTTCACTTCTTCTCTTATCTGTTTTGACCATCGGTTACCTGACACCTCACCTCCGGTATCAGGTGTACGGACACCCTTTGGTATCAGGTGTACCGAAAGCCTCTGGTATCAGGTGTGCGGAAACCGCGTTACAGGGCAGGTCCGGATTGCTCTGGTACTTAGGAAATGGATACATCAGTAGATATTTATGAAAGAAACACCCGATGACCAGTTTTTATATATATGTTGTAACGAATACCGCGTTGGAGATCGGAGTACACGTGGCAGTTGTACGCGCGTAGACGCTCTGGTGTCTAGTCACACCCCCAGACCACTACGGCCGGCCTTGGGATGGAAACCACAGACGATCGGTTCAGTTATCAAGAAATAGGGAGGCAAGATGAGAAAAGCCCCAAGGCAAATGAGAAACATAGTTCTGGTTGGGCCCTGGTGTCGCCGACCGTTAGTTGTCCCCAAGGACTCAGGGGGTTGTCCCCAGGTCCAGCCTCGTACTGTGGCTGCTCGTCGTCGTCACCTTATTTGCGGGACGGTGCTCTCTGGTGGGAGCGGCGCGGGAATCAGCTCCAACCGATTACCGCCAACTGACATAAATGTAACCACGAACACTGTATGTAGCGTTCTACCTAATAAACGGCTTCGCCTCTTTAGCGGAGCGAAAAGAACTAATGCATTGTAGTGTTCGCGCCCCAGAGGGCCTTGCTATCATGGGGTATTGGTGAACTCAATCCATAGTACGGTGCAGTGTACAGTGAACCCAGAACAAAATCTATAATCCAATAGTGTAGTAATATAAGGCACTGACGTGCAGGCATTTCTGCCCTGGCAGCAATACACAATATTTCAGGAGAGGCCGCGTGATGATTCCTTGTAGGCGAGGGCCTCCGCCTACAGAACGCCATCTAACATATTCCCGCCGCCCTACTGAATGAATCTGCACTGACTCCGACCCAAAGTACCCCTTGTAATGGCCATATTCCTACTGCTATGCATGTGATAGGCTATATCAGTGCACTAGAACTTGTGCCTGCAAGGCCCCGCTCACTCTATAGGTCAGCCAGTTGCTGATTCAAATGCAGTACCTAAAAGCATTCCCATATGAGTGAGCTGAAGCGGCTTAGCAGCGCGTACTCAGCGCATATACGGCATAAATCCAAGGGAAGTGCGTGCACTTGTAGTTAGTATGAGTCGATGAAGCAAGATGGTGGGGAGAGAGGGTTTGGGGCGCATGTACTTCTCCGTGGGTGGCAAGCGATTCAGCCATTTAGCATCAATATCTGAACAAGCAGGTACAGCACGTAGCTAGCACCATCGGTCCTGAACCCCAGGCTATTCAGACATGGGTTGTAACCGTTGTGTATGTAGATGCGATGAGCGTGCCGCCGTGTCATAGCATGCGCACGGCAATCAGGGTTGAAAACAGCGCAGATATTCTGTTCGTGAGAATGCTGGATAAGGCCGCACATCGCATTCCACCATGTGGAATGCTAGGATGGAAATCTCTACAGGAAATTCTCGGGCTCCACTACTGCTGTACACCTCGGAAGCCACAGAAGCTGCAGATTTCTAATGTTCAGTCGTAGGCGCCTGTGGAGTTGGACGGTGCCGCCGTATATGATTTACGTGCAGACTACTACAGCAACCACTTCTGCAAACGCATTGGCAGCGGTTGCCTTCTTTTACCAATCGTTCGCTTAACTGGCGCCAACAGCGCCCACAGATTGCGTTCATCAGAAAACACATCGGCGGAGCAACCTGTAGATTCCATAATGTTCGCAGGCCATCCGTGTGGAAATCCCATGGGGACCTCCCATGGGGGGCACCACACACTTTTCGAGTTGCACTTTTGAATAGATATTCATCAGTTGACTAGCACTGCTGCAGAGGCTTCATCTACACGATAGGCTCGGACGCCGCCTTTCGTAAAACATATTGTAGGATTCCTCCGTTTTTGAAGTACTCCATCTCTACCTAGAAAAGCAACAAAACCAGCTGGCACTTCTGAAGGTGGCCAAACCCCTCTAGGAGAGCTTTTCATCTAGGAACCGATCGTACGAAGGCGTGGGTAGGATGTCTTACCTTTGTCTGCACACGGCATTTTGCAGTAAAGTGCCTGCCATCGCCCAGTTGTACTGGGACGTCTGAATTTACTCCTACAAGCGTCAGGTCAATGGAAAACTCCTCTATTCCTGACGCACAAACACCAACGGGCAGACGATAGTGACTGCATTCCCGCAGAGCGTCATAATCATTGGGCATCATTCCAGTCTCCCTGCACGGTAAATGCACCTCCAAGCAGTACCTGTAATTCCAAGGGAGGACGCAGAGTCTCCTTCCAAGAACTGCAGTGGAAGCACGCCCATTCCAACTAAGTTCGATCTGTGAATCCGTTCGTAGCTCTCCGCAATTACTGCTTTTACGCCTAGAAGGGCCACGCCCTTCGCTGCCCAGTCCCTGCTGCTTCCACTGCCGTATTCTTTCCCTGGCACAAACACGGAGCGCTTGCAGCTTGTAAGCTACACGGTCGACACGAATTCCAGGGATATGCTATCCTTCGAAGCGGCAAAGCCAGCACTGCAACGCGAGAAGCGCTATGAGGGTGATTTACGGCAATGGACTGCAGAATCTGCTGCTATTTATACCTCACGACTGACCTGCAATAACAATAAGAGGAGTATGCGTTTCTCTGTACAACTGAGGAAGATCGCACTCCACATTAACTTGTCAAGAACTGTTGCACACAGCAGTGGCCGTCAAGAGCACTCGGAACATTTTCTAATTGTATTCCTTGACGCACCTCAGCAGCGTCGTAGACCGGCATTTCCTTTCCAGAAGGGATGTGTTTAGTGATAGGTCCAGCAGAAGAAGCAAGCTTGTTGATCAGTCGAATATTTGCAAATGTTCCTTTCAGCACAACAGTGATTTGGATATGTATCTAATGCATATCGTGTTGGCAATATTTTCTAGTAAGGCCATACGAAACAACTATTATAGTGCTTGAAGCTTTCGTTCCACGGGACTAAAGAAGGACGAACCTCGAGTCATGACTTCGTCATTACCCCGACGACTACCGTAAGAGTTGAAGTCCCGTTGCTGTGAGTAGAAACGCAGTACCAAAAAGTCTTGACTGTTCACACAACGCCGTTATTTAGTTTTCACCCACGTGTGGTGCTGCAGGATTGTAGCCAGGCGCCTGCGTGAGAAGCCACGATAGTACTTTCCTGGCGGTGGTGCTTACCGTAACGCCTTTGGCAAGAAGATAACGGCCAGCGGGTGAATTCTTCTCGATCCTTCCAGCAGGTGAAATATGGTCTGTTGTAATGCTGTCGCCTAATAAATAAAACGTAAAGCCGAGCGCCGTGTTGGGAGCGGGTAACAAAGACACTGTCAATTTGCAAGGCTGCTTTGTGCTGCTTTAGGTCGCATACCCAGCAGAAGAAGGCATCTAGCCTTGGCGATAGACTTCATCAACATCGGCTCCTTTGTAAGGCCTTCAAAGAATGGCGGCTTATGTATATAGGTTGAGTTGGTAGGCCATTTGAGTAGCACGCCCTCAGGTGCTTCAAGTTTTCTCCAGCTGCGCTACACACGTAGATTAAGGGGTTGAAACCCGTGACTTCTAGATGCGGAGGCGTGCCTTTTCATCTGAAGCACATGCGCTGCATCGCATTGAAAAGGACGCAATTCTCCCTCGGGTTGAGGCATGCTGACCTCTCATTCCCTTGCTGTATATTCTGGTAGGCCTCCTTGAAGAACGAAGGAAGAAGGACAGTTTCCACCACTTCGTTTACGGTGGCTGGGCTGGGCCAGATGTCGCGCAGAAACACTTCCTTCCCTGCAAAAGAAAGGAGAGCGCTAGGCGAAATGTTGCTGGGTAGGAGTGACGTGGAACTGCAAGCGAAAATGATAGAGGACAGGCTGGCTTACCGTGCTTGCCAATACCAAGTGGCTCAGTTTCAAAGTTGATGTCCACTCGACCTGAACATGTTTCAACGAACCGCACCGAACAGTTGTTTTCCCTATGCAGCAGGGGCAGGTCGCAACTGCGCCAACGGAGATATTAAAAGGCTTACCAGCAAGAGCAAATGCCACACAAAGCGGTGGAGACGCCAAATAATTCGCGCGAGTGAGCGGATGCACGCGACCCTCAAAGTTCCTGTTACCTGCCGGCACAGCGCAGGACCCAAGATGAAAGTCAGCATCATATTCACTAGTTTCGCCTGTCTCAGGTAAAAACGCAGCAAAGAATGGAAAGCAAACGGAGGAACTACTCGGATGTGCCGTCAAGGAAGCGCACCAGAGAGGACGGCTGAGACAACTAAGTCCGGGTTTGACTGAATCGCTCCGGCCACTTCCTGCAGCAGCAGGTAACCAAACAGTTACCAAACTTGTAACCGACGGAAGCCAACAAAACATAATTATCTTGCTGAGGCGCTCCACATAAGAGACCTCGCAGCGGTGGGTACTTGTGAACTGCCAATTACGTACCTCCGACAGATCGCCACTGTTGCCAATGCACGTCATGCATCCAAAACCTATAAAAGTCAGAAATTTACACAATGTGGAGAGCTGGTATGCCAAGGCAGCAGGGGGAGCACTAATACTTCCACCCTGATATCAGTAGAACGTGTCAGTGCAAGACCGCCCTTCAAGCCCAACCTGTCAAGTAAAAACCAAGCGCTTCGAGGGCTGATAAGAGGCCTGCATCTTCGAGGTAGCGCTGAACCACGTGGCTGCCTGGTGAAAGCGAAGTTTTTATGTACGGGGCAACGGAAAGGCCCAGCTCCTGAAACATGCCAGTACAGTACAATAGGATGGCTACAGTTAGTCCGTAATTGACAGCAAAGCAAAACGTGCTGCTGAACACGGTGAGGAAGCTCGACTTGTAAAGTAGCGTGGAGAAGGCACGCTACCCAGTTATTTGCATGCAGAGTTCCTAGCCGGGGGGCAGTCTACAGAGCTCACGGCTGCATTGCGAGCTAAGAGGCCAGCACCAACCATTACGGATGGGTTTGAGGTATTCGTGCAGCTGGTAATGGCTGCAATTACTACTGAGCCCTGAGATGCAAAAACCAAACGCCTCATTGAGAAGTCCGTACGCCTCGGCAGGCGGTGGAACGCGTTGCCAGCACTTATTTTGTAGCCTTTACTGCAGGACAAAGCCTTGCCTTACCTGCCTTAGCTCATACGTCTTGCCCTGGAACGTTAGTGGTACGCGGTAGGAGACAGCCTCAGGTTTCAACCCGAAACCTTTGAAACCCATGGGAGCGCTTAGGCTTGCCTGCACACAAAAGCTTTCACCTCTGTTAGTTTGGTCCAGCGCCCAGTGCGAGGGCATTCGCACTACCTTCAGTAGTTATACCCCGAGCGCACAATGAACTCTTTCTTCAGGTTGCGAAGAAGAACTTCGTCTTGGGGACGTTTGGGACCCGCAACGCATGGCTCGATCTTCGATAGGTCGACTTCCAGCACGTCTGCAGCAGCCGCATCCATTGCCGTCATCTCAGTCATAAAAAGCTCAGCACGTTGCGCTGTGCGTAGTGCGCTTCATTGTGGTCGACGGGCTTCACCTGTATAAGAGACTTCCGGTTCGGACTTTTCGTAGGTCCTGAACATCCCCTGTTGCGAAAGGTAAGCTTTGATTTTTTCCACTTCTCCGATGCTGCGGCCAGTGCTGAGTAAGTACTTGAGGGTCATTTCATCAGGCGGGAAGTAACCGATCGTGGCACCGAATTCAGGGCTCATGTTTGCAAGGGTGGCTCGATCTGGAGCAGAGAGTGTAGCGCAGGCCTCCCCGAAAAACTCGACAAAGTGGTCTACTACGCCTCTCATGCGTAATATGCGAACTACATGCAGGACAAGATCTGTCGTTGTGCAAGCGGGGCTCAACCGTCCAACAAGGCGCACACCCAAAACAGGCGGAAGCGTCATTGATATTGGTTGGCCCAACATTGTCGCCTCCGCTTCAATGCCGCCTACTCCCCTGCATGGACATGGGAGAAAATTAAACAAAGAAACGAGGCAGTGAAGCTATGGCGAAAGCCTTGTGATGCGACTCCTGTTACACAGAGAAGTTTCTCTGCTGCAAACTCTATAGACCTGTTATTCATGTGCAGACACTATGTGCGCATACTTTTACTGAGTAGACACGCAGCGAAGTGGGGCAGTTTCCCAGACTGTCTCACCAACCCACAATGCCCAGTCCATCGATCATGGTAGTGTGCGAATCGGTCCCCACAAGGGAATCAGGGAAGCACAATCCATCCTTCGTCACTACGACCTTGGCGAGATATTCAAGATTCACTTGATGAACAATGCCAGAGCCGGGTGGCACAATAAGCATTTGGGAAAACGTTTTTGCTGCCCATTTTAGGAATGAAAAGCGTTCACTATTGCGATGCATTTCTATCCCCTCGTTGTATGCCAGCGCATCCTTGCTGCACCCGCGAGACAATCACGCAAGGGACAGTATGGAAGCATGCACACGGGTCCGTTTGTTCGTACCTGAGTGAGACTATCAGCTGCTCCAAAACGTGTTCTCTCAAAGGCTTACCTTCTAGCCATGTCCACTTGGACGGAGTGATCAATAACAAGGTCTACGGGGACCTTGGGATTGATCTTAAGGGGGTCACTTCCGAGTTCGACCATGGCGTCACGCATTGCTGCGAGATCGACTACACAAGGCACACCTGTGAAGTCCTGGAGGATTACACGGGCAGGTATGAATGGCACATCAAGCGCTGCTGCATTCTTAGTTGTCTTCTGGTTGACAAGAGCATCCCACTCCAAGATGCGTTCAACATCAGCTTCGGTAACAAGGAAGCCGTCACAATTGCGAACAGCCGACTCCAAAAGCACACGGATGCAATGAGGAAGACGGCCAACCTTTTCCTTCCCTAACTTCTGTATGTTATATATGCTTTCATCAAAACCATTCAGCTGTTCCAACAGGTGAGCATACCGGTGAGCAACGGTGTTCCCAGTGGGAGAACAGCTGGAGGTGAAACTGCTAGCTGTCCTGGGTGGTGAGTTGCCCCTCATTTTAACTCTTAATGGTGAGTAAATGCCTTAAAATTTCTTCAACGAGCGAAGCATTCGTCGCTGTGTGTGGTCCAGCCTGTCCCGGAAAGTATGGTATACCCGGAGAGCAGCAGTGGCGATGCTGCTGCATAAACTAACGAGAGAGCAGTGGTAGTAGTGCAGAAATTTCTTACAAGAAGAAGTGAGCATGAAAATGCGCGTAATGTTTGTGTGGAGGATTCCAGCTAAAATACACGAGCATGGGTTCGGGGCTGTTGGAGCTCAAGGCGGCGGCGGCGCCGACGCCTGCACGAAGACCAGGGCAGGCGCGAAGCCACTACAACTGGTTGAGCGGCCAGAATCTCTAATTTTTGAAATAGTTTCTTCAGTTCTAGGGGCTCTGGAGCCTCTAGAAGGCAGTAAGCGGAGGCCGGTTACGAATGGACACTATGTCTCGGAAAACGAGCCGGCGATGCCTCCTGGATGTGTGGAATGCTCCAGTTGTGCCGCAACGATTTGCCTATTGTTGGGCCGAGACGTAGGATCGAAAATTGCATTGGGACGGGCCTTCCCTCTAGGCTTTACCGGGACAGCTGCAATGCTCTTGTTGGGGCGTGCGCCGTTTAGCATGGTCTGCACGAAGTTTGTACGTGCGCTTCCAGGCTGCTTAGTAGCGGCCAAGTAAGTGCTTAACAATTGCTTACAGTGCTAATGCGTGCAGCGTGTCGGGATTGGTTGTACTTCCACCAGGGTTTGCCTTGCAGCCCTACTTGCCCCAGCTTGGGGTTGCAGCTCATGCCTGGACACTCCCTCTCGCCCACCCAACCACAGGCCCTTAGGCTGCCGTAGGGAGGGCGAGCTGGGACTGGATTGGGGGTCATACGCATTATGGGAACGCTCATATTAAGTATTTTTGACTCCACTGCAGCTCGTGGCAGTTCCTCGACCGCAACCGAGAGCTCCCGTTACACCGGTAGCGCCGCTTAAGTCATCGGGGCCGGTACGAGTGGCGGACCCCATCCCACGTAGCTGGGATGTCTGGTGCATAGCAATGATTAGTACCGAAGGCGGTTTGAAAAAATTGAGGCAAAAAGTTGTTTTCCTGACATCTTTCAAACGCAGCCGTTTTCGGGTAGCGCAATAAATAAAGATAGGTCCTGCTAGGTGTAACGACAGTCGTTGCTCTTAGCTGAGACCGTTATTAGCTGCAATTCAACGAAAATGCTAAATATGTCGGCTACCCCAACAGCCGCTGGTCTCTCCAGTCTGCGTTCTGCACACAACGGCGCAAAGGGCTGGGGCTGGTGAGGAGTTGAGGCGAGGTGAGATGAGTTGTAGAATACCTCTCTGGAACTCTTGTTTCTTGCCAACCTGCACGGTTGTCTACGTGAACTTTGTCCCTGTGCTCCAACGCGCGTGCAGGCTGAGCATTGAGGGTCAAGCAAGTGCTCAACAGTCGTCTATGGCGTCAATGCATAAAGAAGTACGGTTCAACTGTACACGTATGTGGAGCTGCACTGTACTACGAGTTGCAGCAGAGTGCATTGCACCCCGTGCCAAGCCACCTCCTCACCCCCGTCCCACGGCCATTGGGCAGGCGGTACCAAGGTGCCCGACGACTGGGGAGGAAGCCAGTCGCTATTCGGAATGCTTTCTATTAGGTAGCTCATCCGCGGATAGCTGAGAGTTGTAGTAAAGTTGAGACCGAGGATTTTTCGTTGCAACAACCCCACAAACACGCACACCGAAGCCCGGTGTGATGCCTGCGCTAAGATCGCGCACTATTGCTAGATCCTGGGTTGTCCATCAGTAACCAGTCTGTTTGCAAATAAAAATACTCGTACCAATAAAAGACGCAACATGCACCCCAATGAAAACACCCTGCTCCCGGCAAGGAAAAGGAGTGGGAGGCAGGCGATCGCGCTTGCTGCACAGCAGGCCTATACCTCGGAGGATGCAAAACAATACAATATTGCAATTAATAAGGGGGAAATGCGCTTAATTGTCTGTAATTAGCAACTGGATCATGCCGACCGGGCACTGGTTGTCTGGGGCTGCCTGAGATGTGTGCGGCAGCTTTCTTCGACTAAACAGAACCCGCCACATCCATATTCCCTCAAGAATTGCGGCACAGCATTAAACTCGGAAAGTTTCCATATTAAGGGTTTTGTTAGGGCTTGCACGTAGTGGACTGTCCGTTCCAGCAGCAGCGTGTAGACAGCTCGTTACAACCGCAAGCCCCAGCCACTGCAGACCCTCGATTCCGAAAGATGAAAGGCACCTTGCTTCTTTCCGCGAAGTATTATATGGAAATGCATGTGTTTTTGAATTAGAGGAGCAAATGTTCGAGCTACTGAAAAGCGTACCTTCCGGGAAGAGCGACGTTTGAAGCAAACGATGCTAGGTGGCGGAGAATCAGGCCTGTTCGGAAGCATGTCCGGCACTAATGCCGCAACGACGGGAACACCTGCTGCTTCCGGTACCCTATTCGGCTCCGCTGGGCAAGCTGCTAATGCTGCGACGACTTCCAGCATATTCGGTAATGCCGCAACCGGGTCATCACTTGGAACTGCGGCGGCGGCGGCCCCAGCAGCGGGTGGCTTAGCAGCCCCAGCGTCACTGCCAAAGGAGGGTGGGTTGTTCGGGTCAACTTCATCAAATTCCACACTCTCTGGTGGCGGTCCGTTCGGCAGTGGTGCGGGCATGCCTTCGAGCTCAGCTGGGGGCCTTTTCGGAAGTAGTGCCACCTCGAGTTTGGGATCAGGGGCCAATACGGCGAGCGGTTCCACAGGAGGTTTATTTGGGAGCGCGGCCGCTCCCGCGGGAAATGCGCAGAGCGCTGCACAAGGAGGCCTCTTCGGGGGAGGCGCCAGCGCAACCCCCGGGTTGTCCGACTCTACAAAATCGGGGTTGTTTGGTGGAACCACTGCAACAAACAAGTCAAACGAGATCGTAAAGCCAGGAGGACTGTTTGGAGGACTCTCGACAGCGGGAAACACAGGGGACGCTCCAAAAGGAGGCCTCTTCGGAAGCAGCACCCCCGCTCCAACGACTAGTGGCAAGCCAGACTCAGTTTCAACTGGACTGTTTGGGTCTTCTTCAGCAGCTCCAGAGACAAATCAACCTGCTGGAGGCTCTTTGAGTGGAAAGAGTTCGTCAGGTACCTCCGTAACTGGCGCAGCGACGCTTCCCACTGGGTCTGCCTCAGGAGGCGGAACGGCTGATGCTTCGAAGGGAAGTGGCCTTTTTGGGAGCCTAGGAGACGCAACAAAACCAGCCAGCGGTGGTGGCCTCTTCGGAACTGCCTCAGGTTCTGTCGCAGGTGCTAGTGGAGGGAGTGATGGAAAGGGCAGCGGCTTGTTCGGGACCCCAGCCGCCGCCTCTGGGGCGACCCAGCAGCCACAGACAGTTGGACAGGCAGGCACAACGACTGGATCGTCCCTTTTTGGCTTTGGCGTTTCTGGAAGCAGCGGCAGCATTGGAAGCTTGTCGTCGAGTACGGCAAAAACTTCAGCGGAGACAAAAAGTGGGCAGAAAGGAAGTGAAGAGGCTTCTGCGCCTTCATCGGCTGTCGAGCAGAATACGACCGGTGGGCACAGTCAGAGTCTTCCCGGAGCTAGTCCCACTTCTACTGCTCCGAATGCTGCACCGCCATCAGGCTCTCTCTTTGGGGTCAAATCAGGGAGCAGTGTTGAGGCAAACCCCGCATCAGCGGCAGGGGCAGGCGTTCGAAGCGCTCCGGCGTTGCCACCAGAAGAGGTTGCACTAGAAACCATGCAGCACGAAAGGATGGATGATCTCCTGAGTAATTGGGAGAGGAGGTTACAGAGGAAGGTGGGACAATTTGATGAGCTGGCCCAGGAGGTGGCTGCGGTGGAAGCGTCTCTGATTACCCAATCAAGAGCCCTCGCCAGCATACGCGAAGAGCAGCAGCGCGTGCACCGGCGGCAGCTGTTTGTCGGCGAAACCATTGACATGATTGAGCAGCAGCAGAATGACCTCTCTAATCTATTAGCTTCAATAGAAGGCAGCCTGCTGGCGAGGCTCTCGCCGCAGGAGCAGCGAACCGTCTGCTCCACCGTCGAGCAGAGCATGTCACAGCGTGTGCTAGATATTGATGCGCAGATGGACGAGCTCAGTGCTGCTATCGCCCAAGCGGCTCGGAGGAGTCAGCCGGATCCCGTGGCTGCCATTTCGCAAGTGCTCGCGGTGCACCAAGCCGCACTCGAATCCGCTACTCAACAGTGCTCCAAGTTAGAGCAGTGTTTGAAGAGCCTCCAGAGATTTGTTGCGTAATCTCGGGTATGGTAGAAGCAGCAAATGGCAGGTCTTGCTGTGGAACGTGGAACCGTGGAAAAACTCACGCAAGTGCACCAGCGGACTGTGTGCCCTACACAACCGCTGGGGGGGTGTTCGGCCTACTGTGCTCGATAGTTACTAGACGCAACTGGTATCGCATCTTTACTCTGGAAGAGCTATTGGTACAGCTACACACGAACGTGTAACAGTCTCGTGGAATCTCGATACCGTACAAAGGCAAACCGCTAGAACGCCCAGCAATAATGAGTCCTTTATTGCACCTCCAGAACCAAAACATTCTAAGTGTTGTTTAAGTACTGTTTCTCCTTGGTTCCTGAAGCATGTAGATCCCGACGCCGGACAGCTTTCGCCGTCCGCACGGTACAAAACTGCGAAATCTCCCTACCCTGTCGTGCCGCTGCTTCTAGCATTGCAGCAAGGCAACAAAGTGCACAGTACCGAGGGGAGACCATGAACCTCGCGTACCTTGAATAACTCAAGTTGCTCAACAGCTGCACCATGCATAGATAGCATTTTCTTTTAACTACCAAGCCTCTCTCGCGGGAAGTAGGCAGATCGTAGCAACAGTTGTAACTCAAAGTAACACAGCTAGCGCCTCTTAAAGGGAGCAGAATTCGTGCACTATGCTTGAGACAACGATAGCTCCAATACTGCACCACGGTCATCTGCCGCGTCCGCTGCGTCCACAACACGAGCGCTGGCCAACGCCTCTGGATCCGCTAGCACCTTCACCGCTGGGATTCCAAACTGTCAAAGCACTCTACCTGTTAAGCTACTTATCACGGATATGTGATGGCGTCCGCTCGCGGTGGCGCACTACTGTCCACGGCTAAAACCGACTGCACCCGGCCCCACGATTCATAGTCAGTACAGCCAGCAACATGGTCGCCAGGACTTGTATTTGGTACTGCTCCAGAAGTTCTAAGCAGCTGTGGGTCCCATCATCCGCAACGCGTCTCCGTGCTTTGTCTTCCCTCGGATGACACAATGAACACGCGCCTGGTCCAACGACGGAGCATACAGACCGATCAAATGCACATCCGTTCCACCAACGACGCGTGCTCGTCTACGCCAAATTCAGATGGTTTCTCCATAATGCGGGAAGGCGATGTCCGCTGCTCAGGTCTTCGTGGGAGATTTGACACAAAACTGAACGGGAGGACAAACAAAGCACACCAAAGAGAGTCCACCGGGGCCTCCTGCAACTCGGTAGCAGGCAGAATCCGTCACGAATTCGCGTGTAAAGACAGCTAAGGCGTGATAGATCTTACAAAAGGCAAGCAAGACAAATGGCTGCGCTGTTTCGTCCTGCAAAGACAGCACCCGGACCACAAAGGCATTGCCTCAGCCCGATCGAGCAAACAACTGAAATGCCTGAAGCCCATATGCATGGCTATCCTAAGAAGGACGACGGGAGGAGATAACTGAACAAGCAGCTCAGCAAGCATCATGAATGCCAGTAGTCGGCGGGACAGGGAGCACAATCGATACTAACGAGCGCCGAACTCCTTACGTCTCGTCTTTCTCCTGCTGCGCCTCGAGTGCATTCTGCACAACGCCCTCGCCCGCCCCGCGCTCCGGCGCCATCACTCTGAATTTCGTTAAAGAGCAAACAGCAATCCAACCCTTAAATATTATCCATGTGCAAGCGCTATGAGCGAGAGGTCAACAAGAAACAATGTTATACCAAAAGCGATGACAGCCGTCTCTGAAAAGCAATATTAACGAATACCGACGTACGACGGTCCGCCTGGGTTTGTTGCCATCGAAGGGTTGACTAAATTGCCGTTTCCTGCGACGACTTGGTTCTTACTGGCATCGCGACTCCTTCCCGCTGCATCACATCGCCAGCAGCAATATGCCAGGACCGGGATTAGACTGCTTGGAGCCACGGATATCCCTGGGAAAAGGCAGACTGCTCTCATGAAAACTTACGAGCAAGCCTATCTTGTTCCCGTCTAGAGCGATGCCGTGGTTCTTGGCTGCAGTGGGCATGCAGGCGATCCCCCTGTGGTACAAAATGAAGATTCCCATTTGCAACGGTGGTTAAATGGTTATGCACTTTGTAACGTCTGGCAAAATGCCTTCAATAGCGGATACCCAGTCTGTTAAATCGGGTCCGCCGCACACCCGCGGTGTCATGGAAAGTGAAACTATGTTTGCACACATCCACGCCTCGATCTTCCATGCGCTCTGAAGGACGTGTCAGCGAATCACCAGGCATGCGTTCTGCTCACCGAGTGACCAAGGCTAGAATTCCGAGCATTTAGCTTCGGCGTCCAATCGAATGCAGCATCCTGCTGCTGCAGACAAGTCGCACACACCCTTCAAAGCCCCCAACTGCTCGTATATGTCCTAGCAATGGCTTCACGCTACTCAAGGAAACACGAAAGCGAAAAACCAAAGGCAACCAGCGAAGGGAATATGTCCTACATCAAATCCCTCTTTAATGTAGAGATCCTTAAAGAGCCCCCGGAGATACGCGTAATCCGGCCGATCTTCGAAGCGGAGCTGCCGACAGTAGTTAAGGTAAGTCGCAAATTCCGCTAAAGAGGAAGCACAGACACAAGGCGAGATTCGGTGTTGGGTGACCTCACGGAGCATTTACGCGGAAAACCATCATTGCAGTAACATGCAACTGATCCACCTGCTGACTGCAAAGACAGGCATCTCGTGCACAAAGGTCGGCTAGTCAAGCGCACACACCGGGGTATCCTTTGCATAGGACCTCGACAGGAGTAGACATCTTCTTCTCCATGATCTTGTGGTATTTCTCCTGCTTCGTGTTCGCCTTAATGCCTTGCCAGGGTAGCGTCCCAGCTGCTCCATAACAGCACCAGCACGCATGGTAGCACTGTTTAAACAGAACAAACTGAGTGCCCAGCCATGCATGCATCCAGCGTCCACCGAGGACTGCTCCGAAAAGTCATATGCTACCAGCATTCTCTCACCCCTGCAGAAGTACATGAGGACGTAGCCCACAGCCTCTAAGTCATCACGCCGACTTTGTTCGGAGCCAAGGTGTGCACTGATAGAGGCGTAGCGGGCTGTCCCCGTTAAGTTTTTGTTTTCCCGATATGGGATGTGCTGGTGTGTCTTCGGATCACGGTACTTCTTTGCCAGTCCGTAATCTATCATGTATATCTGAACATCCAATGCAGATACCACACAGAACTAGAGACACCGCTAGTAACACTCGTACGCGCCTGGTTCGCAACACTTGCGACATACGCGCCCATAGTCCAATGAGTTACATACACCCGAGGCAAAAGTATTGAGGGGTTCTCACCACACTCTGATGAGGTCCGTTCACTCTGCCAATCAGAAAATTGTCCGGTTTGATGTCCCGGTGGATGAAATTCTTGCTGTGTAGATACTCAACGCGGTCGAGCTGCAGTGAACACAAGCGTGCAGACGGCGACGCAATTAACGCATTGTCAAGAATCGAGTCAGTTCGAGAGCGCATACTACTCCCACGTTCTACGAAGCAACATTGGCTTCGGGAAGTGGCATGAGAGTACTCACGACTTGGTCAGCAATCATCAGGATCGTCCGGAGCGTGAACTGGCGGCTGCAGAGGTTGAAAAGGTCCTCTAGGCTGGGGCCCAGCAACTCCATAACCATGATGTTGAAGTCAGCCTCCGCATCACAGTAGTAAATCTGTGCTATTCCAGGGGCTCCTTGTAAATGCTTTATGAGTTTAGACTCATAAATGAGCTGGGGGTGCTTTGCTTTGGCACTCTCTACCTTCATCGCCACCTCCTCTCCAGTCTGTACATTCACACCTGAAACAAAAGCAGTCCAAAACCACACACGACCTTACACTCCATAAGTGTCTGTTGGCCGGCAGGCATGGTGTGCAAGGCCTGCGCCTTCCCTCACTGCAACGAGAAAGTAGAGTCAAGTGTCGTCGCTGGCCTCGCATTTGCGTTGCCTCAACAGCTATGCAGTGAAGTCCTGGGAGGTCACTGGTCCATATGTTCAGTACATGTTTCACTGTAGTGCACCACTGAAATATTACCTTTGTAGATATCTCCAAATGACCCTGAGCCGATCTTACGGCCCAACCGCCAGATGCCGCCGATCCTGGCATCTCTAAGAGGGTTTTGATTAGATTTTGAACTGTCTGCATGGTGCGCCATAGTGGCGGGCTATTCATTGGTGGCTCCTATGCAGCATATCAGCACTTATGCCAGAAGCGGTTCTCCGTCGGGAGCCGCACTCGCGACTTCCGCTTCCCCTAGTGATCCTGCAGAAAAACTGCCGAAAGCGCAAGCGCTGCCGGGTTCAAGGGGAAACCAGAGCGTCGCAGAGTTGCGCAGAAACACAAAAAGCCCCCTCGAAAAGTTAAGTCTGCTGAGGATGCAATCACGCTTGGAGAAATTGCACTCGAACGTGCAGGCGGAGACAAGCGCAGCCTTTGCAACTCATGTGCCGTGACAAGACACCCTATTACTCCTCCGCTGGCCGAAGAGTTCACGCCAACTGCGATTCTGCCCAGAGCACCGAAGAGAACGCTACCTTGATAGACTCGCCCTCTCACAGGTTCTGCTCCATCAACAAGCAAGACGCGCCAGCCCGCAAGACCCCCTGCGGTCACTAACCCCTGCCCCGTTAACGGAAGAATGAAACGTTATTACGAAGCAAGTAAGCGACAGAGACAAACCCCAAGAGCTCTGCCGCGGCCGTGGATGGCACGTGCGAGTTGTGCTAAGCACCACTAAGACCGCACAGCCCCGCCACTGCCGCGGCCTTCCCCGCCTGCGCGTCTTGCACGGGAAAAAGCAGTATACGCCTTGATATCACAGTGTTCTGCGGATGTTGCGAGCCAGGAAGGCTCCAAAGCCACGCTGCTGCTTGGTGCCCTCTACGAAACAGTGCAGGACAGCCATTCTTAGGGTTCCTGCAAGACAGCCACCAGGAAAAGGTGGCGATCGCACCCCCAGACTCTGCGGCGGCTGATGCGATGTTCTGCG